ACTATTTAGTTTAGAAAAATTTCATTTCGTTATTGATTTTACTTTTGTATTATAAATTCTTGTTAGGAAATTAACTTTTCATAAGTCTATTATCGAACAGTCGTACAAAATATCCATCTGCTTATGGTAATTCTTTTATTTTGAAAGCCCAGAAATTCATTGCCGAAAAACGTGGATATTTAGCACGACAGGCGCCACTTGGGATATTTTGAGTAGGTACCCATTGTTAAGACTTTCATGTATTAAGACAAAGGCCCAAGTGGTTGATCCATTGTGGATATATTTATGACCTCGACAATAATTGCCAGTGATGATTTCTCAAGAGTTCTGCTCTGCAACCAGATAGATAAGGCTCAATAATTGAAGAAGCATCTGCTGAAAATCCGATGAAGTGTAATATAGAGACAAAAATATCATGTCTCGAGGTATTGAATATTTTGGAGTAATCAAGTAGAATCAACATACTTTTCCTTCTATCAATTCTGTACAGTGCTTTCTTGTCACTCAATATGAAATTTTATTCATTGGTACAAAAAGTACAATATCTCTTTATCCACTGTATAGAATTGAATATTTTTATTTATGAATTAAGCCTTGTGCTGAATAAATTATCATTGAGGTGCGACAAAATTGAAAAACTTGCCACACAATATATTATTCATCATGAACGATGAATAAACATTATTATCATATTACATACAAACAAATATCAATCCTCTTACCTTAAGATCGGCCTTTCCAACCAGTCCCTTGTTGCAGATATTCATTATCGTTTTGAAATTGGCGTATACGTCGCTGTCGTGCAGCAAGTGCTTGTACGTGATGAACTCGTCGATGAGTTTTTTCAATGCCTTGTCGTTGTATTTAATAAGAGTGAGGCAGTAAGAAATGTTTCTATGGTGACGGATGTCCTCTGTTATTTTGAATTTGCCGCAGAACCGGCTCACGATAGGTTCCATGTGTTTGGAGTTTTCCACGAGATCAAACAAGAGGCTACAATATAAAAAAAATCGAGGATTATTGAACGTAACATGGTGAAGATTCGAAATTCATTATTTATGTGGGTAGTGATCAAAAATAAATATGACAAACATTACATTACAGGATGGTGAAACACATCTCACTTGTTCTATTTTACAAATACAGCAGCCAGGAGAAGGAAAGAATTTCATGATTTTATCAATACACCCAATGCAAAGTACTAATAAAAGAAATATAGGTCAATCAGAAGATGATGGGGGTAATTTCAAAGGGGCCAGCAAAAAGGTGTGGCTCTATTTATACCGAATACTTAAAGAGGTAACAGAGCAAGACATAACAAATTTTTTGGTAAAGAAAACTGGCAACGAAGAAAGTGATTTTATTGTAAAAACACTGCAACCTATGGGTGGTAAATTTAAATGCTTTTTAGTAGCTGCGGATTACAAATTCAAGGAGAAACTATACGACTCGTCTTTCTGGCCTAAAGGAGTATATTACCGTCGATTCGACTTCAAGTTGTATTATGAGAAATTTCAGATAAAGGATGTTATCAATCACAAGGATTCTGACAGTCAGGAAATTCAGAATGCTAGGCAATCTTATAGTTCTTCATCTAGTCAAAATGAGGCTCAACAATCCCAGGAAGCTGCTTTTTTAGCAATTACTTAAATTCAAATTTAAAAAACTTATCAATATCTAATGCTAGTCAACAGCATGTGAGAGATAATTTGTGCAATGTTATTCATATTACGCAAAAAAACGGGGAGGAAGAAAGTGCTTGTGTACAAGAAAGAACATTAGGTAATAATAAAAAAATGAATATAAAAACCACCTCAAAGCAATGTCTAAATTTATTACATCTTAATATCCAATCTATTCGTAATAAGGTGCTGGAACTGAACGTACTTCTTAAAGAAAAAAAATATCAAATTGCATGCGTAAATGAACACTGGCTATCAACAGGGGAAATTGAGTCTTTAATAATTGAAGGCTANTTTTTTTTTTTTCTTTTCGACTTGTGTAAATACTGCTGTATGTTAGCACCAATAAATGATTATTATTATTATTATTATTATTATAAATACATCTGAATCAAAATTATCAACATTAAAACGTAACTTAAAGTATCAAATGTACGTACTAAACAAATGAAAAGACTTGAATGAAACATTCAATATTGAAACATTGCTATTTGTTTATATGATTGATATAAATTAAGGTTTTCTTTCAAATATTTAAGGTATATCACAGCAGGCATATCGTAACATTTAATTTAAATCATTGATATTTTCTCGAAATGACAAACCAATGAAAAATTAATTCAGGTTCGGGTCGTAATTTAAGAAAATTCGGGTCGTAATTTAAGAAAATTCGAGTTCAAATTGATAATTCAACAAAAAATTTGAAGATTGAAGCGGAAATTTGACAAAGTTCCAAGATTAAAGTCAGAAGTCAATAAAATTCTGACTATGAAAACCAAATTTTATTAAATCTTGGTGTGTTCCAAGGAAAATTTACCAAAATTCTGAGTTCAGAGTCGGCATTTTAGAAAACCCTGAGTTCAAAGTCGGGATTCAACAATTTTTACTAAATTGAAGTCGGAAGTCAACAAAAATTCTGATTCTGCAAACCGAATTTTATTGAACTTTGGTGTTTGAAGCGGAATTTACCAAAATTCTGAGTTAAAAATCGGAATTTAAGAGAATCCTAACTTCAAAATCGGTGTTCAACAAAATTTCCGATATTGAAGTCGGAATTTTATAAAATTCTGACTGTGAAAACCAAATTGTATTATATTTTTGTGTTCCAAGCGGAATTTACCAAAATTCCGAAATTAAAGTTGTAACAGTTCATTTATGAGATACTGGGACAACCTGTATGTACATTTCGTTAGTTCAATTGAAATGGCGTACAGGTGGACAGAGGACGATTGAAGCGACAGTGCGAGGCTTACACTTCGTGTAACTATTTAACTTCATAGGCCTAAAAAGAAGCTAAGGTAAATCATTCAAGATATTACAATTTCTAGTTTTTGTGGTAGATTTGCAGAAACGATGTTCTCGTTTCAGGCCTAAAAGAAGGAATAAAATCAAGAAGAATCAGATTCAGTTGAGTTGACGTTAATTTCAATCAATTCAACTTTATCCAGCAAATTTGGCTTCATCTATATCTTGATCGTTCACTGCCTGCTACGTCATAAAAATCGGAATTTAAGAAAATCCTAACTCCAAAATCGGTATTCAACAAAATTTCCGAAATTAAAGTCGGAATTCTATAAAATTCTGACTGTGAAAACCAAATTGTATTATATTTTAGTGATTGAAATGAAATTTAACAACATTTTGAGTTTATTGGCGGAATTCAAGAAAACCCAAAGTTTAAAATCGGGATTCAACAAAATTTTCGAAATCAAAGTCGGAATTCGATAAAATTCTGAGTCTGAAAACCACATTTTATTAAATTTTTTTGTTTGATACGGAATTTACCAAAATTCTGAGTTAAAAATCGGAATTTAAGAAAATCCTAACTTCAAAATCGGTGTTCAACAAAATTTCCGAAATTGAAGTCTGAATTCAATAAATTTTTAAGTCTGAAAACCGGATTTTATTGAATTTCAGTGATTGAAGCGAAATTTACCAACATTTTGAGTTTATTGGCGGAATTCAAGAAAACCCAAAGTTCAAAATCGGGATTCAACAAAATTTTCGAAATCAAAGTCGGAATTCGATAAAATTCTGAGTACGAAAACCACATTTCATTAAATTTTCTTGTTTGAAACGGAATTCACCAAAATTCTGAGTTAAAAATCGGAATTTAAGAAAATCCTAACTTCAAAATCGGTATTCAACAAAATTTCCGAAATTGAAGTCGGAATTCAACAAAATTCTGACTGAAAACCAAATTGTATTAAATTTTTGTCTTCCAAGCGAAATTTACCAACATTTTGAGTTTATTGTGGGAATTTAGAAAAATTCCGAGTTCAAAATCGGGATTCAGCAAAATTTCAGAAATTGAAGTCTGAATTCAATGAAATTTTGAGTCTGCAAACCGGATTTTATTGAATTTTAGTATTTGAAGCGAAATTTACCAACATTTTGAGTTTATTGTCGGAATTCAAGAAAACCCTAAGTTCAAAATCGGGATTCAGCAAAAATTCCGAAATTGAAGTCTGAATTCAATGAAATTTTTAGTAAGATCACCAATTGTATTAAATTTTCGGGTTCAAAACAAAACTTACTGAAATCCTGAGTTTGATGTCGGAATTGAAGAAAATTCTGAGTTCAAAGTCGAAATTTAACAAAAATTCCGTAATTGAAATCAGAGAGGAATAAAATTCTAAACAAATTTAGTAAAATTCCGAAGTTTGAAGTCGGAATTCAACAAACAATGAAGCCACGAATCAAATAAAATTTCATACGTGGAATGTGAATTAAATAAATTTACACGAATTGACTGATACTTGATGAAAATCCATGAGGTATTCAAGTAACACTTCATTAGAAGATTTTCACTCAACAGTTTACAAAACAGCAACACTTGTGTCACTACACAATATCTTCCTCGGGCATATTCATACTCTGGTGTTTTAACTGAAGTATTTGTAACTGAATTATCACACTTATAAAACTACAGAAATTATAAAATAATTTGACAATATTTTGTTGTTTCTTTCAACATTATCATTTAGATTTGTCAATATTGCTCTTTAGACATTAAAGAATATTGAATATTATTATTATATTGTATTACTAGTTTATCACAGTTCTACTTCTCTATCTTTATACAAACAAAGGAAGAAAGCATTTAGTTTTGAAATGAGATATTTACAAAGATGTGAAAACACTTGTTGCAGTTCTATAAAATGTCCAGTGAAAAATCTCCCAATGAAGTGTTATTTGATAACGAGGTCTCATTTTTTAACAAGCTACTCCTATTCATTCATAATATTCAAATGATGCTACAGCCTTACCTCATAGTATTCTTCACCCCTTCGTCATCGACACTCTCCTGGCCCATAACATGCGTAAATATATCCGGCAGCGCATTGTAGAGATTGTTCTCTTTGTGTGCCAGTTTGGCAAAGAAAGTCTTCGCCATGGAACGCATTCCTGGNTTTTTTTTACTTGGGTATCATTACTTTACCATTGATTTTTAATATAAATACATAATATGCCCAAAAAATCACTATCACTCACTACGTAGTAAGTACCACACTGTATCCTGCATCAATAAAACTCAAACGCACCGCCCATGAACGAATAACGAATAAACCATCAACCCGAAATAATAAATGCCATATGTTGCAAGGGAGCCAAGCCTCCGACCGCTTTAAGAAACACAGGCCCCATGACCGATCCAACCAGCGACATACGTCCCGATTTGTAATTTCAATTGCAGAAATTATAGCGTTAGAGGAGGCTAGCCTCCAGTTGGTCTCCGTTAGTGTACGACTGCGTTTGTTTTTTATTTAATTATTCGGACGGGATGATAAGCTTATACGACAGTGTGGCATATATTATTAAGGAAAATATGAGCAAGGAGATTGAAAGTGTTTCTTTTTTGGCATGGGAAATTGATGAAACTACCTATATTACCTGTACATCACAACTTTCAATCGTTTTTAGATATGTCAAAGATGGTAATGTGGTAGAACGTTTTATGGGTTTTCATGATGTTTCATCTGGGCGCACAGCTGACGATTTGTTCAATTTTTTAATTCGTACGTGTGAGACCTATAAATTTAGGTAAAAACTAATTGCGAAAACCTATGATGGGGCTGCAGTCATGGCTGGCCATTTAAATGGTTTACAAACTGAAATAAGTCCATAGTTCCTCATGCACTTTTTAAGCATTGTCATGCCCATGCCCTAACTTTAGTCTTAAGCAGAGCGTGCAACAACATAAAAATTTTCGTGCTTCCGGTGGGCTTTTTTGTGTGTATATAGTCTTTATGACTTTAGCCTCCCCTATTCTCCAATGCACGCGCCGTCACTGATTGTAACAGTCAATATTCTGAGATTTTTGAAGATGAGTTTGCAACTTGTCCTTCTAGTAACTCCTGCTATATACCTTACGGTTCTTTTTTGAAGTTTGAGTATTTTGGAACAATCACTAGATGCTCCCCAAACTATGATATAATAGGAAATGTTACAATGAAAGTATGCATGGTAGTACATTAATAAGAGTGGTCTATTTACATTCCAGCGTAGTTGTTGAGTACAATAAGATATTGAGGATATCTTTTTACAAATCGCATCAATATGCTTGTTTCATCTGAGATTTTCTGTTATCCTCAAACCCAAAAATTTTGTCTCCTCCTGTTGTTGAATTGATCCATTAATTGACGTTACTAGTAAACTGTGATCTAGAGTTGTTCTTGAATGATTAAAACGTAAAGGCACAGTTTTTCTTTCATTCAACAATAGACCATTATCTGAGAACCACTTTTGGGTTCATTTTATTTCATCGTATGTTTTTGTGGATATAATATAGAACCCTGAGCAACCCCGAGGGAACAATTTTTAGATTCTGATTTATTTCTGCTAAACTCTACCTAATAGTATCTACCCTCTAAGTAACTTTCAAACGATTTGTGGGTTATTCCCCTGATTCCATACATTTCAAGCTTTGTTAGGAGAATTTTGTGATCTACCAGATCAAATGCCTTATCTTTCAACACCAGGAAGAGAGAAACTGGTCTGAAATTTTGTATGTCAGTGTCATTTCCTTTCTTATGAATTGGCACAACTTTTGAAATCTTTAGGCACTCAGGAAATATCCCCTCTTCCAAGGAGCAATTGATCAAGTACGTAAGAGGTTCTGCTATAAAATTTATGCATTTTTTCAGTATATTTGTACTTATTCCATCGTCACCGGTGGAATTTAAGTGACAATGGCTAGTATACCATACTCTGTGGTAGCCTTCACCAATGTCTAATTTAGAGAAAACATTTTTTTTTCTAGATTCATAACTAAATATAAAACTCTTTCGAATACGTTTTCTTACCTCATAAGCGAGGTGAGAGCTGCAAACTGGATCTCCTGGGTTTTATAAATATCCGGTCGTGAGCAAATGTGCGTTACAAAAGGTACAAGTTTTGCGAGAAAACCTGAACCGGTTACTGTGTCGTTTTCTAAAACATTCAATATAAATTCGGCGTCTATGTCTTCAGCTTGCGCTCCATCAAGAGTAGATTCGTCAATCTGCAAAAAATATCGCCACCAAGCATTACATAACATTTGTAATTAATTTTTTTATAATACGAGGGCAGTCGAAAAAGTTATAATATTGACCTTTCTTTCCCAAAAATTATTTTTTTCTCCTGAAAATACACCCCTTTCAATTCAAACTGCGATTAAACAAAAATAGTGAATGAATACTATGAGAAAATTTAACTCATCCACGTCATATAGTTGTAATGTTATGAAAAAACTGAGTGTTTCATCTTGTAATTTTATCCGGATTGGTGCTTAGAGGCAATAAGACAAGCTTCCTATTCTGAAACATCAATGTCCGCCATAGGATGACAGTGTTTTCATCGTAAGTGAAATTTCATCTTTTTCAAATAAATTATTGTGTATACAGTTAGAATACAGAAAAAAAAAACTCCTCTATATTTACTAGTTTTCCTTCATGGTTCTATTCAAGTTGAACGTTTTATCTTCTTGTTTGTTCTTTTATACGGTTAGAACGCCGCTATCCTTTGTGTTGGTGTTTCTCTAGGTTCATTGTTTCTAGGAATGTGTATTGTTTTGTGGAGTATATTGAATGTTAGGTCTTGTAACATGTAATGATACGTAACCCAAGTACAGGCAAATTTAAAGAGACATCTGGATGAAAGGAGAGGACAAATACCTGCACTGATTCGTTCTAACCGTATAAAAGAACAAACAAGAAGATAAAACGTTCAGTTTGAGTAAAGCCATGAATATGGTAGCACTGTCTGCTATCGAAAGCGCTTGCATATAATAATTAGAAGTTATTAAAAGCTTCAAATTCTTTTTGTCAACAAATGTTAATATTAAAATATATATATAATTTTTTTTTACATCCTATTCGTCATCGACTTACCGCCACAGACGTCATCATTGACGACGCTTCGCTGGCCGTAGCTGCAGTCAAAGACTTCCTGATGTTCGTCTCTTTGTTATTCTTCTTGCCCCTGATGACGGTCTTGACCTTTTTGCGTTCGTCCCTGATGTTCTGCCGTCTTTTCAGCTCTTTGTAGGTGGTGTCGTCCAAGTAGACGAGATGCTTGATGGCCACGTAACCCGTCATCTGGCACAGCCTTATCATGGCCCACTCGGGAATTGTGGCGTCCGGGTCTTTCTGTTGCCTCGCCAGTTTGGGGATTATACTCGAGAAGAGCGCCTCGCAGACTGTTTCAGGCTCTGAACACATCTAATGGTATGAAAATTAACTATTAGGGAAAAATCCTAGTACAGTTTATATGCGGTGTCTTCCACAGGAAAAATCTCCGTTATTTGAAAAGACAGAACTGAAAATATTCCCCTTTCGATTTGAAATATACTGATGTTTCATATCAAAACTCTCAATTATTCACCCTACATTAAATAGTGTGCATACATTTTCTTCACTTTAATACAATCTTCAAGACTTTTTCTGAAAAACAGTGAAACATTCATTGATCAAACTGATCAATCTAAATTTCAGGTACCTTGTAAATGAAGTCTATGCCGCCATACAAAGCTTTGTAGTAGAATTCCACAGGTTTGAAGAACTGCTCGCTCAAAATATCTACCAGTTCCTTGAAGAACGCATCGTCCGACTTGATTTTGAAGGGGGGAGTTTTGCCGTTGATGTCGACTTTTTCAAATGCCACCGACAACAGATTGCAACAGATACCCAGAAGAGCCATGTTCTTCCTAGCCCTGAGAAGAAAAAAACCTTTTCAAGAACCTTACATTGCGTCTCACTTAGACCCCACCTCAAATACAGATTTCTTGTTTGGAACCCTCATTACAACATCCATTCACAAAATATTGAACGAGCTCAACACAGATTTCTAAATTACGTCAATTTAAAACGTTACATATTTCTTGATCAACAGCAGTCTGAGCAACTTACTAATCACCCTACATTATCTTTGAGGGAAAAACACAGAGATTGACTATTCCTTTTTCATTTGTAACTAACGTTACTGCAGTTTCGTCCTATAAGGACAATAAAAAATCAAGTAGTGTTCATAAACGAGCTCTAAAACAACGCATTTCAAACTTATCATTTCAACCTTTTTCTTTAAAAAATTATTTAAATACTTAAAAAAGGGGAATGAAATAATGCATTCAACATTTAAAGGGATTCGTTTCTATTTCACCATTTGGCAACATCGGTAATAGCTAATAAAGGACATTGAATCTGTTAGCTGTATAAGACAAACAAAGATGACATATTTCAGAGGCGTGCTGTTCTGTTTACTTATGTTCCGAGTTCCAAGACATTCTGTGACATATGGCATTTTGTGCACCTAACCTATCTTCCTCTATATAAATAAATAACAAAACAACTGTTGTTTATGTGGCTTGTGGAGGTGGTATTGAACTATAATTTATATTTTGCCTTAATTGTTGATTTATAAAGATAATTTTCCTTTTTTAAAGTAAAATATCTAGGTACGTATAAATTATTTCAACTTGATATAGGCGCTGTTGCCAATATGTGAATTAGAAACAAATCCCTTTAAAAATTAAAACCCAACATTTGAAACATCAATTTGAATATTGAAAAACTCATGAATTAAACTCAACTTCATTTTGTACAAACTTGCATTTGTTGTAATAACCCAAATTGAGGAATATTCCCCATTTGATCATTTAGTAGGTAGTTCCGCAGTGCATATGCTTATAAATTTCCAATTTCCATTATTCTGTCCTATCTGCATAGTTGTTTTAATTTCCATAGCCTCAAATTTACGTATAGATTGATATACCTCCAGATCAGAAATCAAGAAATTTGTTACTTCAACATATTTTGGTAAAAGAACACAGAAAATTACGAGATTTTTCTGAAAATAAAAGTGGAAGTGGCATTCAGGCCACGTACCAGGTTGTCTAGTTTCCTGTTTGATGTCAAAGATAAAGTGGACAGGATGGAGAAATCTGGAGTTTATAAGCCTAAGTGTCCGAGTGTAATAGACTAAGTAAAAATTATTTTACATGTCCATATCCTAGGAATGCAATCATGAGTTTCCGAATCTAAACAAAATTCAGGTAATAAAGTCCTTAAGGACCGTCTGTAGTTGTATAGTATATAAGAATAAGGTATAGTGTATAGGTATATCGAGTGGTCCAACGAAAAGTATGCACCTTGCTTTTCTCCTTTTTTTTTATCCATAGAAGATCTTCGCCAACGAATTACAGCAGAGTGCAGAAGTATAACACCTGATATGCTACAGAATGTTAGGAAGAGATTTGAACAAAATCTATATTATTGCATGGAAGCAAATGGGTCACATTTTCAGCACTTGCTGAAGTAGGATTCTACTAAGTCAATTACACATTTCAAAGTACTGGGTTGTAGTTGTTTTTCTTAATAATACCTACATGTTTCAGTGAAATACAACAAATTAGGTATCATTGGAAAGATAATTTTGTGCCCTTTCAAATGATTATCACTCGACCCCACTTTCCATTTAAAATTTTAGGGTTGTTACTCACCCTCGCTAGGGGGTTGATGGCACAGGTAGAAAAATACATCTAAAATGTGCCCCCCTCAAAAGCAAAATTGACCTGTCCGAGCATTTTTGCGTTGAATTACAAAAAAAGGAGAAAAGCAAGGTGCATACTTTTCGTTGGACCACTCTATATAAGAATAAGGTATAGTGTATAGGTATATAAGAATAAGAATGGTAATTATTTCAGTTTATTGTATTGGTTTGAAAATAACTTTGTGGGACGAAACTGCAGTAGCATTAGTTATGAATAAAAGTGGTATAAAAAAACAGAAAGTTTTAATTCTCATTTTTCATGATGATGTCCTACCACGTAGTAACGGCTACATTTATCAATCTAATATTCGATTTCAAATAATTTCATAATCTAAAGAAATAAACTTTAAATGTCTAAACCAGTCTCGAATATACCTACACAGTAGGTTGAATGAACAAATACCTATCATAAAACAACTACTCCCCTGGCTAAGACCACGAACGACGTTGGAGTATATCTGACAGGCGTCAGTGCAGGAATCTTCACAGAAAATTTCCTGCATATGCAATTGGCAATACAACTGAAAGAGTCGACCTTCAATTTTGGAACGGGCACACTTCCAGACCGGTTTCAGGCTCCTTAGCCACTCGTCAGTGCAAGATAGTGGCCATCATCGACCTAAAGTCAATAATATCCCATAATTGAAAATCGGAATTCTTTCAGAGTATTTCATTCCTCGTCCTAAGTTGGAGCAAACAACAAAATGTCACTCCATCTAGTGGACGAGGTACTAATCAACTTGCATATCCGAAATTTGCCCGATTCCTCTGAATAAGGAAGAAAAACTTTCTTATTAGTCAGTGGGCTATACTTGAAAACAGGTAGTAACAAATCTAAAGAAATGGAACTTTGAATGTTCAAGCCAGTCTCAGATATACCTACACAGTAGGTTTAAACTTCATTTCTTTAGATTTGTTTACTGCCTGTCTTAAAGTATAGTCCACTGACTAATAAAAATAATTTCATAATGCTTATGCAAGCTATTCATCTAATTGCTGATGTGCAAATTGTACTATTTCATCTCATCACTTATGAAATGTATAACCAGATATCTAATAGCTCAGCATCTCAAAATTATTGCTAAATTTGTTACCACTCTCTCTGATTGCCATAATCTGTAATTAATTATTCATGTTCTGTACTGGGCTTGCCCAGTTGAATGAAAACAAGTAAAATAAAATGAATAACCACTCAATAAATCAACTCACCTCTCTCCAGTGGCGATATTCATCACCAGATTCAAGTTCCTGGAGATGATCGTCTTCCTGCCGAGAGCTGCCATACGTAGCAGCTCAAAGGCGGCGCTCTGGGTCTCCTCGTCGACGGACACCCTTTGAGTATTGTCATTTATTCAGTCTGCTTTGCCAAATCACCACGGACGGATACAGATTACGCTTTTTTACGCTCGCCATTATTGTCTTACCGAAAAGACTTGTGGTGGATAAATTTGAGTCCACTGGTTCAGTAAACGATCGTCCAAAATCCGTACGTCGACGAAACGCAAGATCTGCCGAAAATATCGCCGCTGTCTGTGAGAGTGTGCAGAAAAATCCGAGGCAGTCGATTTCGCGTCGCTCACAAGAACTCGGCCTTTCGCGGACCACAACTTGACTAATTCTGCGTCGTCACCCGTACGAAATTCAACTGTGCCAGGAACTGAAGGTTGGCAACTCACTCTAATTTTCATCGAAAAATCATCTTCAGCGATGCTTCATTGGTTGGTAAAGAGGGAAAAATTTAGAAATCTTCAGATGATTGCACAATGACTCTTCAATGTTTTCAGCCATCTCATCAATTCGTCTTTGCACGGAACTATTGCTCAAAGGAATTTTTCGGATATCTGCCGCTGGTTTATGAAGCCGGTAAAATGAAATCCTCTCCAATAGTGTGAGGTTTACCTGTTTGAGCAATTAGCAAGGAGATATTGTCGTCGTCTTGCTCAGAAGCCGCTGTTGGCTGAGCTGAGTGATTCTTTACCAGTTCTTGAAAATAAGTCACACTTTTGACAAAGAAGGCATATAGGCGAAGATGCATGGATTTGTGGGATTTTCAATAAATCCATATTTTATATATTCCGCGCTATACTGCCGTTTCTTCTTTTTTGCTTCCAACATAATTTTGTCTTCAAAAACACCGAAGTAAAGAATCCGGTATTAAAAACTTGCTAATGACACCACTCACAGTTTTTATCACCGCACATACAGCACTTTAACTAGCTAGTCGCTAACTAAACTCACTTGTTTTCGTAATGTCGTCGAATGACATTACTGGCTGGATGGCGCGCGCGCTTTTATATGAGGCTGCGGGCGGGCCTAGTACTTTCGAGAATGGCGACTAGAAACTTCTCGCTTCGCATTGAAGCTTACCGCCATCTATTGTACACTTTGACAACTATCAGACAGGAAATAGTCACTGTCTAGTACCCTAGATGGCGTTACACGAGGAATCGCGCGTTAAGCGTTAAGGAGCGGTAAAGTCTGTGTTGAAAGCAAAAAAACATTTTTAAATTAGCCATCGCCCCCCTAAACCGTGGGCGATATCGCCCACTTTGAGAAAGACTAATCTAGACTCTAGACAATGTGAGAACGACGTTGGCCAGGCCATCACTGTCAATGGCGAGCACTGTAGGTCGATGATTATCAGCCTTCTTTTGGCCTGAATTAGATGATTCTAGACTCTAGACAGCAACGACATGTGGTTTCAACAGGAAGGCACAGCTCATGCCACATTGGATATTCTGCAGCACGAGCGATCAGAGGGCATGATCATCTCACGTGGATGTGATGTGAACTAGCCACCAAGATCGTGAGATTTGACCCCGTTATACTTTTTCTTGTGGGGTGTATGCGAATAAGCCACAATCTACACCGATCCTCAATGCCAACATAATCCATGCCATCGGTCAAATTCAGCCTGATTTATGCAATTATTGAAATATCTGTAAGATGTATTTCAATATCTGTTGTGGTATTAACCTGGAAAGTGGTTTTTCCGGCAGGCATTTGCCAGAACATACAGTGTAAAAACGGAAGAATTTTGTTTGAATGTGGTTAACAATGTTTTTGGGGAATGTTAAAGGTTCGAACTTGCATCTAAAGAATACTGAGTATTTTTAATACTTCATGTTTTTCCTTTATTTTCTCCAACCTCCAACTTTCAAAATGAGTGAATGTTTCCAATGTATATTCCAAATATCAATTTTCTTAAAACCACAAAGTATAGAAAATTATTCTTCTTACGCAAGAAAAACAGTAAATCTGAATTTAAGCGAATAGCAAAACACATATATCTTGAATTCACTTACGCCATATTCGACGCTTCAGAGACCAAGTAGATTGTTCGGAAGGCTTCTGTTACGGCGTCTTTCCTCTCCTGTTCGTTCCTCTGCATTTGTTTTAGCATTGCTGCAAAAGTGAAAATAGTTAATCAACTCATAAATAGATGATGTTGAAAGTGACGCTCCACAAGGTTCAATTCTGTCTTACCTAAAATACCATCATTGGCCCTGTCGATATCAAACTTATAGGCAGCAATAAAGAACCCAATCGCTTCGTGCATATCGCTGGTAGAAGTCGTATCCAACAATTCGATCATCGTGTTGATTGCCTTATCGATGAGGTTCAGAAAAGCGACACAGTCCTCGAAAAACTCGACTTGCTTCACTAGCGCTTCGACCTTTTTGTAGTCTTCCTTCGAAATGTTCATAAACTCGCTGTTTTCCATCTGCTCCATAACCTTCGTTACGTCGAAGAAAGTCGTGTAAAGAATGGTCATATAGAGAGACGAGTCAATGTCATCTGAAGGTTGCAATTCCCTGTTTCAAAAAATGATATGAATATTTTTTTTATGAACGAAAATTTCGATGAGGTAAAGGGTTGATCAACTTACTTGAACTTCTCCAGAAATTTCGAATCTTTCACTGCGCCCCTGCAAACTTGGAAAGCCTCTTTGAATTTGTCTTCTTGTAGATAAATTCTGATTAGTTCAGGGATTTCGTCAGTGGGAATTTGATTTTCCTTATCTTGGTTATCGTAGTCTTCATTTTCTTTAAAAAAAAAAATTGTATGAAAATACGATATTACTCACAGAGGCCTGATATGGTATCCATGAGGCACCCCAAAAGCAGGACTGACGACTCAATAGACATTTTATTTTGTTTACTACTATTAGAAGCTTACCTTTGCCTTTTTCCAACTCACTCGTAACAACATCTTTTAGTGTGTTTACTTTTTTGTCCCATTGCGCTTGCAATTCCATCAGTTTTTCCACTTTAGGGTCTTTGAATTGTTCCTTGACAGTTTTCAAAAGTTCTTTATTTCTTTCTAATTCTACTTTCATCTTTGATAAACTGAGCTATAAAAAAATGTATACTTTCAGGTCCAGAGATAACTGTGTTGGAACAATTGTCCGAGTTTGTTAGCCATAGTTTACAGGTTTTCAAGTCCGAAGTTTCGTCTACGACTGCGCAAGACAGTACCAAAGACGTTGGGGCAACAGGTGACGTGATAGTTAACAATAATAAAATCTGGCTACCTGCACTTTATTGCTCTTGTTCAACTCAAGCAATAGAAAAGAAGCCACACTCAGTACCAGCAGAATAAACCCAGACTCCCAAACTTGCTTTGAGGAGAACCAAAACGGTTCAAACGTTGCACATCAGCTTTAACAATGCCTACGGACGTCATAGACGAGAACAATAAACATAAAATCATGCAGACCACGGCCAACAAATCCGAAATATAACTGGCAAGCTAGAGAAATAATAGTAACAATAAAGAAACAAGAAAATAGCGAAACAAACAGAATTTTTTATGTAATCGCAAGTGAAGTAAACAGTAGTTTCTTACGTTTGCACTGAAGAGGTTGAAAGACAAAAACGTCGTGACACAGTTGGCTGCCGACTTCCTCGCAATGGCTCCTTTATCGTAGAGGTGCTCGACAACTTTTTCCAATATTTGCCGTTGGAATTTCAGAGGTATGGCCGATTCGTTTTGGAGCCTTGCACACTGCTGGAAGACCTAAAGAGACATTATTATTTTTAGTAACAAAGTAACAATACTTTTGCACTGATTCTTTCTTCCTTCCTTTGGATGTTTCCCACATTTTTTGTATGAAAATGGAGAAGTAAAAACCCAAAATTTTTCGCAAAATTACCAGTTTTGTCAATAGTAGCTTTTAGTATTCTTAGGTGTATGTAACTTTAAATATATGCTAGATATATAATTCCAAATGTATTATATATGGGGTTACCAATAAATAAATGAACACTTCCAGTGAAGCAAATAAAAAGAGAGACAGTTCTGTTGTGTGAAATTAGTGTACAGCTCATAAAAACTAGATTCAAATATTCCTCTTTACCTTTGCACGAACTAAAGCAGAGTTATCATCAATATGCTCTATCAGGATACCGAAAAGATCGTCTCTGAATTGCTTTTGCTCGCTTTCCAGAATGTGGCTGGTAAGATTGTTCAAAATGACTTCCACCATCACCATTATGACAGACATACGTAGACTTGGAGGCTGAAAAGAGACAGTAATATACATACACGGTAAGTAATCAAACATATTTCCCTCAAATATTATCTTATTTCTCTGACTCAGAGTACAATCACCGTATGCCACTGTCAACTAACTGAACATGCTAAACAGTTGAAAATGTGAACATATGTTGGAGATGAGTGTACCAACGTAAAAAAAAAACGCTAATCGAATGTACTTTGCCTACAAAATTTGAACATTCACCTTATTTTTTGAACATACCTCATAAATTATGACTCCTTCGCAATATAAAAAGAAAGGAAAAAATGAGAAATCACCTGTACACTATAGCAGTATCACTGGATCTAAAACGGGCTTTTGAAACAGTAAATAAACAGTAAAAATATTATTAAAAAAACTAAATGAATATGGTATAGAGGGTAAAGTATTCAATTGGATTAGAGGATACCTTACAAATAAAAAACAGACAAGAAGAATTTGTGATGTGATGTCGTCAGCTATTACAGTAAATCATGGAGTTCCTCAGGGTAGTATTTTGGGTCCTCTATTGTTTTTAATGTATATTAATGATATGGAAAAATATGTTGAATGTGACTACATTCATATATTCGCAGATGATACTCTGATATAAACGATACTTACATCATGAAACAAATAACTGTTCAGCTGTACAACCTCGGGCATCATCAAATCTGGCATTAGAGCAGCTAAAGAAGATAGAACTGTGGCACAATGTCTGGCTCCCTACAATATAAAGTGAATCATTTGATTATCGAAGCAAAGTGTTCAATATTCAGGAACAATTTGAAAATATGAAAACGAGAGTTTGGTAAATTTCCTTACTCCCAAAAAAAAAATACTGAGAAACCGTAGGCACAGACAATATCCCCCAAAAGGACAATAAATTTTACCAAATTTTGATCCTGTCACTTTGTATCATATGTTTTTTACCTGTTTTTTAAGCTTGGTTGATATCATTTTGAATGTGTGCAATTTTGTATTTTTTGACACAATAAACAGTTATCATCATCATTATTTTGAGATGTTAACAAATTGTCCTTTAAAATGAACAAATTAATAACAGTACCAGCGATATACATTTTTGAGTCATTAATATTTTTAGTTAATCAACCAAGCTACTTTGAAAAGCATCATAAAACACATAAGTATGGAACAAGATTCAGGAATGATTTTTTATATCCGATACATAAAAAATTTCTATATGAAAGAAATACTGTATACAGTGTGATTAAATTTTTTAATTCTCTGCCACAGGATATAAGAGACATCGGGTTGGCCAGCGGTTTTCTGAAGTCTGTGAAATAATTTTTATGCAATATAGAGCCTTATACTGTAGATGAAATTTTCAACACTGTATGTTATATTTTATCTTATCAACTCTATACTTATATGTGTATGTGACGTGTTGTATTCAAATTTTGTATCTTATTAATCTTTTGTAATTTTGTTCACTGCCGTATTTCTCGAACAAAGTATTTCTTTTAACTCATTTACAAGATTTACATATACTCTGTAGGAATAAATGAATATCTATCTATCTATCTGTCCGATGTTTTCGGGTTTGAGATCTGGGTTCAGGATGTTAGTTTAGAACATGACTTTTGCTAGTTTTGTATTTCTATGTAAAATTATCAAATGTTGATTGATTCCTGTTTCATATTTGTTTTAATATTTTCTTTATAATGTTGTGAATTGGGTTCTCTCGTTGAATGAATGAATAAATGATATCTGACCTGACTATCCTGATGCCTGTCATCAGTTTGCCATTCCGTCAACTCCTCAACCAACTCGTGCAGCAAGCTTTTGTAATTGAAACTCTGAACGAGTTGTTGCATCCCCTTCGGCAAGCACTGTACTAGATGCTCGTGCAGCTTCACGAGTTGGGTAATGCGAACGACGAACGTCATGCCGTGATTGTAAGCCTTCAGTAGATGCCCCAGCACGTTGAAAATCTCAGCGAATTCCTCCTTCTCTCTCTTGATCGAAGGATTCTGTAGGAACTCGTAGCAGATACCGGACACTACGTTCACTAGCGCCTCTTCAACGGCTTGCGATTCCCAAAACATGGAGATTTCCCGTTGGATGATGCTGTTCAGATTCAGCAGGACACTTTTCTTATCGATGGTGAAGTCGTCGTCAGTGCTTTTTGAACTCTTCTTCCTGCCTTTGATGAATAAATGAATAATATTAATAAAAATGCATTGCATGATATACAGAACAAATGTAAAAGCTAGTCAAACAAACTAGAAACAAAAACGTCTAATTCAAATGCCTGACCCCCATATTTTTGTTGTTGTTTCATGTATTTAATGAAAAAGTGATAATATTCCTCACATTAATATATAATAAGTCTCTATACATATTCATTTTATATTTACCTCCATTATTTCCTCATAATCAATATTTTCTTTGATTCTTATGAATATATAATCTAAGCAGGATTTTAGATTGCCAAAAATTCCTGTTAATTTATCCAGAGTGATTTGACAAAAATTCATTTTTCATGTTTACCTTTGAGTAACTGTTCATTTTTAGCTGCGTTTCGCTGCTCTATCAGTAAAACTATCTGCGTGTAAATATACAGGTACATTTTAAGGATATTAGCGGTTTTCAATTTGATTTCATCATTCAGGCTTTCTTTGTCTTCTAATTTGAAATCGATGTCCTGGAGCAGTTCGGAGATTCCCTTGTGGAGGTCCTCGTAAGCCTTGTAGGCAATATCTAAGGCAATGGTGTCGCCATGGTGGATTACCGAATAGTAAGTATCAAAGGTTCCCAAAATGAATTCTCCCCGTTCTTCTCGCAATAAGGCTCTTGAATCTAAAATTATACGGTGGACATGATAATTTATCATGGATGATGAATGAAACTTACTTTTTAGTACAGTGGGGATCTCCTTTTGGATTAAAACATTTTGTACCCAATATTCGCCCCTAACAGAGCTTTTTAATAAATCGGCTTTGTTTCCAGGTATGACGAAATTAAAATGTGCCATTTTTGGAGAGTTTTGACGCCACTAGTCTATTTGATTCCCATAGAAAAAAATATTTAAATTAATAATGAAACAAGGTAAATAATAAATTTCGAAACTCAAACGGTTCAAAATCAAAATGACAGTTGACATTGACAAATTTTTGAATTCAAATTATCTATAGTAGTGTTTTTTCTGTATCCATAGAACAGCCAGAATTTCTCATACCACAAAAGTGTCAAGAAAAATATTGACAATAATAACAATTTTGACATGCACAATAATAATCTTCGATTTCGCATTCCCTCACAACTCTATACCAAGAATTTGGTCGATTGAGGTGACATAAAAAGTAGCAAGATAACCCTAAAGATGTCGGAATATGAAAAGTCAGGGATATATGAAATAAGTTATGAGGACTGTTACAAAAATAACGTCGGTAAGACTAATAAGTGAGCTATTAAAATTCGTTCCAAAGAACGTGTAGTATATATTCGTTTTCGGAGACCAGAAAAATCTAGTGTCGCTCAAAACGCCTTGGAGAATGGACATAGAATAAATGGAAACTGTCTGAAATTTTTGAGATAGTTACATACACTGGAATTTTAAATGATTTCGAAAATCTGGGAATAGCAAAGTGTGGTATAAGAACTATGAACAGTGACAAAGGTACTATTTCAAATAGTGCATTCTTTATCTTTATATGAATCGCTCTGTTGAAAGCAGCGGAAACTTTCATGAGAAAATTTTCCGCGGTTTTATTAATAAAAAATGAATAGAGGATAGTTTTGGACCTATGAATTAGTGTACTTCATCTCCTGAAGATGCCAGAGGTTCTAGTTCTACCTATCCTTTCAGTATTGAATGTTGATGTAGCGGTGGGTTAATAAACCCTCCATAAATCTGCCCTTGTTTTCAACAATATTGATAAAGTCAATCCTTAGAAAGCATCCGATTCTTAAATTTTGACAAATGGAAGGTCCATTCTGTGAATGATAGAAACTGAGAGAAATAACGATTCATTATTCACTAAATACCGCCAGAGGAACGTTTTTTTGGTGGATATAAAATTTGTCATTTTGAATTGAGTATTATCTAGAACTCAAAGTTTCATTTTGAAATTGCAACCAGTACACACATTTTAATTGATGCTAATGTACCTGTTGAAATCAAAATATTAAAAAAATATGGCATGTGTGTGTTTTGGAATTTGATCCTGAAATTGAGGAATTTGATAATTCTCCACTGGCAACGCTGTTCTTATATTTTGATTTTGATAGAGGGCGTATTAGGACAATAAACTAAACTTTTTACCGCTCAATGATTTTAAATTATGTTCAAGTTCAAACTCAGTAATTCACTTTAAAATGCCTGCCACTCTATTAATGAAATTGGTAAACGATGATATTGAGTTGGAAAGTTTCAGGACATGGCTTTTATCTGGGGTATTTTCAAAAATAAAAAATAAATACAACCATAACCTAGTTTACTTTTAGGAGGAATATCCTGAATTGAAGTGTTCTCGAGCAGATTTTCTCACTTATTTTCTCAATTTCGTACACGAGGAGGTACCGTGGTAAGTAAATAGCGAAATATTGTCCATATCCATTAACCTAATATTTTTGTTTTTTTTTAGTCAGAACAAGTTCGTTGATAGCCCAGCTGTTAGAATTAGCCAAATCGGCGACAACTCAAAGAACAATTTAGACAAACCTTCAGAAAAGAGCTTTACAGGAGTAGTAGTCGAGGTAAATTGTAGCACACCAAAGTATTCCAAGATACAACCAAATGCAGAACTAAGTAATAGCTACTACAGTCCGGTATCACCTCTATATGAAACCCAAAACAAGTTTGCAACCCCCAAAAACAGGAACCAAAGTTTAACAAAGCGGTCGTCTCCCATTTGCCTAGGAGATTACATTATACAAAGGAAATCATCCTCGAAAAAAAAACACTTCAAAGGGAAGACCCCAGAAAAGAGTAGCAAGAGAATCACTCCAACATGTATCAACGAAGTGGAAGCTAGCGAAAGTTTCAAGACGAACCTCAACAGCTTCGATAACTTTGAAACGAAAGAGGTTTCTATAGAAAATGTGAGTGGGAATCGAAATTTTTTGAGCGAAGAGCGTCTGAAAATCTTATCGAAACGTTTGGAGGATGCTCCGGTTGTCAACATTGCAAAGAAAGGTGAAACAGTTGGCCAGGGGCAAGAAATAGAACCGAAACTATGTTTGGTGACTTATCGGACTTCAATTGACAGAGTGGCATCTGTTTATACTATAATTTTGACTAACTACCTGGTTTTGAACATCACTAGTGAGATTTACTACCTGATATCCTTGCTCCTGAGCAAGAGGTATGTTTCAGAGTCCTTTGACGATTCACTGGGTGTGGAGTTTCTGAATAGCGAATTTAAAAAACCACAATTGGTTGAGAAAGCCTTGAATTGCTCAGATATTTTTGAAAGTATCCATAATATAGTGTATTTCGCTGTGAAGTGTCTCGAGTCTCAGCTAGAAGTCTTGAAAACCTATGACAAATCAACGCTAAATTTGTTGTCACTCAACAACAGGCTGCAAAAGTTTTCAAGAAAGTTCTCCGAAAAATTGGCGAGGATATCCACAAAGAAAACAGAAAGAATTATAGAACTATGTTATGATTCCCAGACGAATGTCTGTTTCAATTCCGATACTGACAATAGGGAAAATTTCCCAAATGATATTTGTTTTCATTCTTTTAGGAAGCAGAGAGATCTTTTCTACGAGATTATCAGGATATGGGAGACCAATCACTTGTCTCAGGGGTGGAATTTTTCAACGAGTCTAGGGGGTAAGATAAAGACGCTGTTTGTTTTGCAGGGCAACTCGGTGAACTTTATGCACTTTTCGAGGCTGTTTAAAGCACAGCTGTTGAGTACTTGTGGAAAATCTCAAAGGGTGAGTTAACTCCAAAAATCAGCTTCATAAGAAAATGGGGAATGTTTCTCCTGACGAAAATCAAGTAGTTTTCATAAGAGAGCTCTAAAACAACGCATTTTAAATTTATTATTTCAACCTTTCTCTTTAAAAAATTATTTAAATACTTGAAAAAAAGGAATGAAATAATGCATTCAACATTTAAAGGGATTCGTTTCTATTTCACCATTTGGCAACATCGGTTATAGCTAATAAAGGACAATGAATCTGTTACCTGTATGAGACAAACAAAGATGACATATTTCAGAGGCGTGCTGTTCTGTTTACTTATGCTCCAAGACATTCTGTGACATATGACATTTTGTGCACCTAACCTATCTTCCTCTATATAAATAAATAACAAAACAACTGTTGTTTATGTGGCTTGTGGAGGTGGTATTGAACTATAATTTATATTTTGCCTTAATTGTTGATTTATAAAGATAATTTTCCTTTTTTAAAGTAGAATATCTAGGTACCTATAAATTATTTCAACTTGATATAGGCGCTGTTGCCAATATGTGAATTAGAAACAAATCCCTTTAAAAATTAAAACCCAACATTTGAAACATCAATTTGAATACTTTTCGAAGTGAATTTGAAAAACTCATGAATTGAAAACTCAACTTTATTTTGTTCAAACTTGCATTTGCTGTAATAATCCAAATTGAGGAACATTCCCCATTGCAACAAAAAACTATATAATTACTACATCTACTAACAATAATTTGGTAATTATCAAATAGAAGGACTTGGCTAATAACATCTTGAAAATGTCCAAAAACCGATTTTTCAACGATTTGTTTGTGGCTATTAAAACTCATAAAAGACCACCTTCTTTCCACAAATGCATGCTTCGGACTTTCACCTATTTTCATCATTTTCAAATTAATTCCACAATAATAACAATCTCTTTGGAGAACATGTTTTGAACATCACCGTATCAGTAAATTTTTGTTATATATTGGGAATATTACGGTAACTACAGAAAAATAATTTCGTTACCAGATTTTCAAACAAAACATTATGAAAATGAGCACATCACTATTTTAAACGCTATGTTTCATATTCTTTGAAAGAGCTCAATTCTCTCCCTACGAAAACAGATATAAAAATTGCATACAAGCAATATATACAGAATTCTGAAAACTCTATCATCACAGATCATTCGAAGTTCAGTTAGACAAGACAAGACAAGACAATTTATTTTCCACTGAATGTTACAATACAAGTACCATAAATTATGGGAATCGTCACTAATAAGTAGGTTATAATAATATTACAATTTCACTTTTTGGTCATAAAATAAAATAAATTAATATAAATAAATAGGTAAATTCGTCAGCTTTGTCTTGTATTTCCCCCCTTGAGTGTCCAGTGATGATTAAATTAGTGTCATCTGCATAAATAATTGGATAGCTTGTTTTATTTTAATAATAATTATAATTATTTTTCCAGGAAGAGGGTTTCTCTGAGGAACAGCTCCCTTTTCTGTCATCTCTACCAAACATAGACTCGAACAAACTGAACCTCTTGAAAAATCGGCTGGTAACTAAGCAAGTTTCCAGCGGTTTGAATTCTCTTCCACTTTTTACAGGACACCAAGAGTTTTACAAAGATTTCATACTGACAGCTGCTAACCATGCTTTCAACCGACATTTGTGCGATACTTTCATTTCAGAGATTATCGAACTCAACGACACCAAGTTTAGCTGTACAGACTTGAATGAATCTGGTAAATAAATTATCTCTATATAGTAATATGAATGTGAATGTTCGTGAGGATGGATATATGTATGTATGTATGTTTGCGGCTCTGTCACGCCTAAACGACCGAAGGGATTTAGATGAAACTTTACATTGACGAATTCTTGCACGACACTTTTTCATGACATTTTGAGCTTCTCCGATTTTTTATATAATACTATGTTGTGAAAGTTTGTGGACGTGAACCATATTTATTGTTTTTGTATTGTTCAACTTCTGTAGTTTTATTTTGTTTTTTAATTATGACTTAGCACATGTACTCAATGTACCAAAGTGTCAAATAAATAAATAAATAAATGCAAAGAAGCAACTTTCAGACAGTAACTGGAAGAAAGTCCTCCTGAAACAGCTACTTTCATATAAACATTGAATTACACGAAAGAAAAAATTATTTCGAAACAAATACTTTTATATGAACACTGAATTAAACAGAAGATACTTTTCTCCACTCTGTTTGCATTCCAAATATTCGTTATAGAATAAAATCAGATACCTTCCACAAGAGTTCTACTTTAAATGGATGGTAACAAATTGCACTTACACAAACAGATGGAAGTTTCAGCTTGTTTTACTTCCCACGTGTTTCGATCACCAAGTGATCATCTTCAATAGAAAGATTAACCTGAATCTTCCCCTTGAAGATGATCACTTGGTGCTCGAAACACGTGTCGAGGTGTTAAACATAACTGTTTGGTGTTACAATAAAACTCTAGTAATATGTAGAGTAATATCTATCTATCTAACAAAATTTGATGCAAATCCTTTGATTCGTGACGCCCTTCTAACTTTCACCTTATTTCTTGAACAGCCCATGTATATGTAAATGTGTGACTCGTGTAAGAAACAAAAAATGATAATAATGATAAATGAAAAAATGGAATTCACTAATAGAGGTAGAGTCTCGAATACACATTTAAAAAAAATTGATGTAGTGTGTTCCTTTATTACAAGTTCATTTTATATCTGCATCCAGAATTATTTTCGTATTGATTTATAGAGATATTGATAGTGTAACGAATTAAAGAATTAACTGTCTTAATCGAACTTATTTTAACAATATTTCACTATCACAAATAATTTATATACAACACTAACGCTTAATTTATCTCAACCGTTAGATTTCTTTCTTTAAACGCACGATTCACTTTCTAAGTACAGACTCCCTCCCTATAGGGACGGGAGACCGGCTTTATATAGCGGCAATGATCACTGTAGATCTCTCTCGTCGTTTCGGCACTCATCTAGAGTTGTCGCGGTGAATCAAATGTTTGGTGTCTGAGATAACGGTCAGGGCCGGCTTTAGATTCATTACAATAGATTGTGAAATATAATGTCACTATCTCTTTTGATTATTCAAATATTTCTCCTTTGAAAATATTTTAATAATGATGACAATTTATTTTCCCAAGACACATACAATGTTTATAGCAGGAGAAAAAACAATAATTCAAAAAGAACTATATAGTAAATAAGAACGAACAGAGCAGACAAAAAAAAAGATAAATCAGAACTGAAACTTGAAGAAAATATAAATATACATACATAAAACACACATATACATTATTATCAACATGAACATAAGTGTACTTATCAGATATTATATCTATACAAACAATATATATCTTTTCAAATTAATCCGGAATTTTTGTTTGTTATTTTTTTTTTTCAGATACCGATATCGACACATTAACTATAAAGTCCTTTGCTTCGACCCTCAAATACCTGAGGGTCCTCGCAAAGTTCTTGGGATTCATCGAATCATTGCCTTACAAATCAGAAATCAACATGTCAGAAAAGTTGTTGATAGCCCACATCAGACTAAGGAGTCAGGTAAAAAGTTCACTTGAACTACTCATTATTTATACTGTAACTCAGTCATATGTTTCAGATTACTCCTGCTTTCGATATCAAGCAGCTACTGCTTCGATCAATCTCCGAAAACACCATCGTGCTAACAATTCCTTGGTTGGTGAAGTACCTCGCGATGCTTGACCATGTGACTCTACGTTTGCCCTATTACATCCCGGTATACAGAACTTTGTTTCAATTGTACCGTTCTTACGACCAATCCACACCAAAGAAGTCATACAACTACAACATCTCATTGGTTAGGTTTTCCTTGGGTTGGCTCTTTGAACTGTCCCATTTTCCTGATGCCGAGTACTTCTACTCCGAAACTAGTAGTCCAACTTGCCAGATACCAAAGAGAAATACTCTGGACAATTGCAATATAGTGGATCAGAATGTGCTGTACACTTGTTGCCCCTTCCTGGACGAAATTAAGAAGTTACTGAGCAGCAGTTCGTCGCAGAGAGCTACCACAGTTAGGCATATCACTCCAGTTACTTCCAGGGAGTCTTCGGAAGTCTTGCTCCAGAAGCGTTCAGCAGTAGGTCCACAAATCTGTTAGTAGCTGAAGATATATTGTCGTGACGTATCGATTTTTCTTGCAGCATTTATTGGAGGAAGCTTTTTTCAATGGCCAGCCCTCTTCTGTCAGGAAAACGGTCGAGTTTGTGAGTGAAAGAGTGGCATCGGCTTGCGTTAAGCACATATGTCATTCGATAGTACCTGCGGCCAAAAAAGCTGCTTTGCAGGAACTCAAATCGTTTTTGGAGTCGGAGAGAAAGGACTTGCAGGATTTGTCTCCGGCGAGGGAAAAGCAGCAGAATGTAGGTATTTGTTTCACATTTTCTTTCGTCTTTGCTACAAAATCAGGAAGTGATGGTTATTCTGAAAAATAATCAATTACTGCATTGAGATCAACTCTTACATGGGCATCCATTGAAAAAAACATTTTTATTTCACCATGATTTTCATAGTCAAGATCAGCCATGGAAAACAACGGTTTTTAAAAAATTTATTTAAGATAATGTCATTTTCAAGTTCATATATTTATTACAAATAGCACCCCTGTGGCCGACTAAAACATACAAACTAATTTATGGGGGATATGATAATGAAATGTATTCATCAATCAAAGATTTTACAAGGCATCAAACATACATGCGTGTATAAAACTTATCAGACTATATAGTTAGAATAAATATAGTTTAAAAAGCTAAAAAGTGAGTTCGAATTACATCAAGGAGGTTATGTACAGCGCCATCTGCCCGCGAATAGATCAAGCAATAATCTCGATAGTTACGTACAGCGCCATCTGCCCGCGAGTAGATCAAGAAATATCAAGGAGGTTATGTGCAGCGCCATCTGCTCGCGAATAGATCAAGCAATAATGTCGATAATTCTAGAGTTACAAACAAACAATCAGCCTGAACAGTTATCCTGTCATAGAGGTAAAGCAGCAACTTTGGATAATTGGAAAAATAATTCATAACTGAAACTGAACTGAAAAGTTTACCCTTTCTACACGTACATGAAATCCACCATTAAAATGTTCATATTTTTCATATTGTGGAAGATGAAAATACCCAAAGAAGGTTGATACAAATTTTTATTACATCCACAAAAAAGACTTTTGTATGTGATTACATCAGTTCTCTTATAAAACCTTGTAATATGTTTGATATTTCTATTATGTTTAGAAAAGGGCAATCACGTTGCAATTTTGATAGAATTATTGACGAAGTTTTGATGTGTTTTTCAATTACTTTCAACTTTTGCCACCAACCTAATTCGTCCACCAGTATTTCAAATTCCTGCAGGATTTTATATGTATACTGTACCAGTTTGAAGTTAGTGCTATTTTCCTCCAATGACATCATTAATATGGCGTCCGAAATATTTAACATTGTGTAACCCCCCATTTATAGAAGCCCTGGGCGCAACACTCACACCTGCTGATTGCTGACACACGACATGCTATGACATTGGCCAAGTTCNTCTGAAGAAGGTAGCCACTTGCGCCAGTGAAACGTCAGGAGGAATTTCCAAAAATGTATGGCCTTCGAACTCGAAAAATAGTGACACTAAAAAAATTATTTTGTTCATGGGAATCGTTCGAAATATGATTATAGATATTTTCAGTCAACGAAACCTTTTTGTGATGAAATTTAATGATATGACACGTTAAAAGGTAAGATTTCATTGATCATTTGCTCGCAAAAGTTTCGTCTTCTGAGGGGGCGACAACTGGTTAACGAAAAACATTTTTTAACGAACTCTCACTCGAGATATCCTTCACAACTAAGTCCTTTTTCAAAATATTCATGTCGAGTTATGAAAATGTGTAAAATCCCACACCGGAATGTTTCGCCATTAAAAAAATCCGTTTAAATCTGTTTTCCCGTTAACCAGCTGTCGCACCCCTACGAACGACAACCCTCAGAAGCTTAAACTTGTGCGAGCTAAAGATTAACGAGGTCTAACCTTTTAACGTGCCATTCCTAACACGTTGATAGTTACCGCAATTTTTTTCGTCCAAAAGATCCGAGCAATCCATGACCCCGTCACACCTCTTCTCTTGCGATATGCACATGTTCCCGCAGCTGAAAGCTCCTTTGGGGCACTTGAGAGTATCTGTCAGAAGCGAACACTGGAAGACTTTCAGTCTGGCGTCGAGGATTTGACAGAAGTGCGTGTTGATGCTACAAAGTCCTCCACAACCTGTAGGGTCGTTCCAGTCGGCAGCCAGAACGCAGCGTGGCTTTCCAGTTTCTTCAACTTTCAAACATACCTCCACACCAGAAATACAGTCATTGCAAAACGGAAGAGAGTACGTTTTCTTTTCCTACGAAAATAATCATCATAACAATAATAATAATATCTTTATTCGTCTTGAGAAACACAAGGTTTATAGACATGTCAAAACAAATGGAGCAATCAAAATCAGGGTATATACATCTTAAGATTCCACAATCGATGGTGGTCATGAATTGAGAAAAAAAAATACGAAGACATACTCATTAAAACAAATTACATTACATGATTGAATTTGAGAATTAGATGGTAATCATAACGTTGAAAAAAATAATATTGAGATCATCAAGAATATCAAGATCGTTAAGAAGTTCAGTACAAACATTTGATTTAAATTACAATACACATACATATTAGTCAAATGGGAACACACCCATTATTAAGGTGTCCACATTGAAGGCATCTCTATTCAATTGGACACTTCCATAAAATTCATTGATATCATACAGAGGATTTTCAGTTAAAAAAACTTCAAAGAGTACTTAAATCTATTGAATGACAAATTGCGAAAGTCTAGTGGCAGAGTATTGCATAGCTTAAGGCCAATATTGTCACTCCTTTTCAGTCTATTTGCTTGCATGACGATGTCTGATTTATTTCTAGTATCATGATGGCGTATGTCTGTACGATAGGTGTAATTATTTATATTTAGTCGAATATGTAGTAGGTTTTCATAAACAATGACTGAATACAGTGTCATTATTTTGAGATTTTTAAATATTGGACGGCAAGTTTCATCCCATCTGACAGAAGTTGTACCTCTTACAACGAATTTCTGCAGGATAAACACTTTTTCCAGATGACATTTTGATGCACTGCCCCAGGTTATTATTCCATATCTTAGAACTAAGTGAAAAAGAGAATGATATGTAGTGAGGGCTGCATTCTGCTTCACAAAACTTTTAATTACTCTAATTGCGTATGTTGACCTACTCAGCCTGGTACATATGTTATTTATATGTTCTACCCACGATAAATGTGTGTCAATATAAACCTCTAAAAATTTAACTGCAGTTTTATCAGCTTGGTTTGAGTTTCTTGTTTCAAAAGTTAGTACTTCTGTTTTTTGTTCATTTGAAATCAGTTCATTTGATCCAAACCAAGATCGTGCTTTGTCCAGGATATTATTTAGGGTACGTTGAGGAGTTTTAAGTACGTCCACTGCTCTGCTCAAGGTTGCATCATCTGCATACATGGTAGTCTTAATATCTAATGAATTGAAGAAATGTAGTAGATCATTAATATATATAAGAAAGAGAAGTGGTCCTAATATGGAGCCCTGAGGAACTCCTCTTATCAGTTTCATTTTTTGACTACGAGATTCTCCGTATTCTACCACTTGAAATCTCTCAGTCAAGTATGATTTTATCATATTTAGGCACACCCCTCTAATACCATACCAGTATAATTTGTCTAAGAGGATTTTATGATTCACACAATCAAATGCCGAAGTGAGATCAGTGAATACACCAATATATTTATCTTTATTGTCAAATGCATCTTTTATGTAATTTGTGAGAGAGTTTATAGCATCAGAGGTTGATTTCTTTCTTCTGAAGCCAAATTGACGTGGACTCAAAATATCATTGACTTCTAAAAATTCAACAAGTTGTGTGTAAATGGCATATTCGATTATCTTAGAGTTAACTAACGTTAACTGCAGTTTCGTCCTATATGGACATTCTCAAACTTGAACAATAAACTAACAATGATTCATTACATTCACCAATATATACCATTCAGGTACTTGATTGAGTACCTGAATTTACAGTTCACAATGGGCATGTGCCAATTTAAGAACCGGAGAGTAAATTAAATCGACTTGGTCATTTAACAGGTTGCACCCGCAATGTTTATGCTTGTGAATTTCCAAGGATTCTAAATAATTGAGTTTGCAACACTTCCTTGCCTAGTGCAGAATTTCCGTATCGCTTAGATTCGGAAACTTGTGGTTGCATGCCAAGAAATGATGATGAAGACCACTTTTGCCTGGTTCTGATTGGCAAAGGTTCTACCGGTGAGAAAGTTATGGAAGTGTTTGAAAAGATGGTAGTTTAAAGTATTTA